GATTGGAGATGTTCACTAGCAGTGCCTGTTCGTCCCATGCATGCACTCCAGACATCCCCGGGCTCCGTACTGAGGGTATATAGAGCTGCCCAGGCAAATTGCCCTCGATTCCTTCTCAACTACCCGCTGGCCTGAGACAGAGCGTCAAGCTTGCCCGCTTCCGCTTTGCTCTAGCTTAGCCTCGAGTTCCTAGTTCAAGGGTTAGTTTAGTTTACTTGCTTCTCTCCTTTATTTTATAATTGTCCCTCTTCGGTTAATTTGGGGAGGTTCTGCTTAATAGCCCCTTTTTTCCTCCTCCCCTTCCTGAGGGGTTTGCCTTGGGGATTGTCATCAACCTGGTGTGCCGGGATTCCTGGGATGCAAGTGCTGCCTTTCCCGCTGGGAATCGACCCTGGTCAGCGACGGACATTCCCAGTGTATCCGCTGTCTGGGACACGCCTCCAATTCCAGCCAACTCCAAGATCTGCTCAGCTTTTCAAAGCAGATCTAAAAACTCCTGGAGATTCAGCTTAGGATCCTCATGATGGAGCTCGCCGTCCAACCAGCTCAGGGTCCAGGCCCAAGAGATCCCCTGTACAGCCGCAGCCAAGTGAGCACAGTGCCCCTCAATCGCCGTACCCCGCTCGCCTAGGACTTTGCGGGTAGGAAGACAGAGCGCACTGCTAAAATTCCCAAGCGGAGTTCCGGCTCTCCTCCTGGATGGCCCACTTCAAACGACCCTCAGTCACCGTCAAGATCGACCGTTTCAAAGACCTCCTGTCCCAGGTGTCAGGAATGACTAGCTAGTCTCCAGGCATAGCAAGCCCAGATGGGCTGCAGCAGGACCGCCTGACTGGCTGAAGGGAACCAGCCAGTGTGCTTGTAAGCCCAGCAGCAGCAGCAGGTCACTGGCTGCTCAATGCTTCGCCCACAGCTGCAGTCACCCCAGGCCTATCTTGCTCCAGCCTTGTTCTTCCCACTCCCAGCCCTGCCCCAGCCTGATTCCTGTTTAAACCCAGTTTACTCTGGCTCTGGACTCTGACTCCTTCTTCCTGACTCCGGTTCTGCCCCTTGGCTCCGGACTAAAACTCTGATCCTTGGTTCTGGTTCCCAGTCCCTCCTCGCTCTGGCTCCAATTAGTAGGCCGGGCTGCCCCAGTCCTGACACCAGGAAGGGCACCGCTGAGGGTCCATCCTTCTCCAGTATCAGGAGCTCATTGAAGACCCCGAGCTCCTCAAAGACCCACAATACCAAGCATTCCTCAGTGCCAAAGTTGTCCGCCATATCGTCCAAGCATGACTGCTACAGAAACGACCCTAAACGCTCTGCCTCTAAAAAGTCTGTAGCATAAACAGACTTTTCAATACCACCTCCGGTGCCTAAACATGTGACCCTGACAGCAACATCGGTTCCTCCGAGCTCAGCATCTTCAGTATCAGCGCTATTGACTAGACAGATACCACCAGAACAATCCGCATCCTCGGTGCTGACACTGGTCGCGTCAGAGCCCCATCCAGTCCAGGTTCACCCAGTACCACAGAAGTTTAGATTCTCCAAAGACTTGTTGGAGTCTGATGAGCCAGAATGGGTACCACATGGCTATCGGTAGTGAAATCTGCAGGGCCTCTGAGACCTTACTTTCCTCCGGTACCCCCGGGTTCTCCTGTACCACCTGTCCCAGGTGGAGAACCATCCTCGCCTCCAATGTCTGCTCCTCCTCTGGACTGTGCTGAGGACTCCACTTCAGCTTCTCAGCTATCTGTGCCGGGATCCCCTAGGTACCACCATAGCAGCATCTCTCCTGATACCTTTGTGACAGGCTGGACCCCCTGGGATGTCACCTGCTGTGCTGGGATTTCACTGAGTCAGACCATTCTGCCAGCCTGGGCCCCCCTTTACCTGGTCTTGCTGGGCTCGGCTCCCCCGTCTTTTCCGGCCCAGCACACAGGCAGGGCCACACCCACCTGCACAGAGAGACAGAGATCCGCTCTGGGAAGGCTCAGCTTAAGGAGCTTGCCACAGCACCCAGATGTCCACCCTCCCTTGGAGTACAAACGCGAAATTATATAAGATTCGCCTCTTCTCTCAGTGTGGAGGAGGGTGTGCACATCTCCCCCCTCCCAGTTAGAAATCACATCGACTGGGTTCTATTGTAAACCAGAAATAAATGTATTAACTAGAACGGGTGTATTTTAAGTAGTTAAGGAGGTAGCAGACAGAACAAAGCATATCTGCCCCAAGTGTTTTCTCCAAAGTCCTGGCAATAGTAGCTGTGCACAGGTGGGGAATAATCATCTTTCCTACCACGACAACTGGCTGTTCAAGGACCATTGTATGTCAAAGTCTTCTCTGCAATACAGAAGCCATCTGTAATGTCCACTTTGACTCCAGTTCAACAGATAAACTTCACAGGAGCATCTCTGAATGCCCTAACATCCAGAGCTTACCTTCCTTCCGACAGATTTCTGATACTGATGAGTCTTAGTGCCAAGATTCAAATAACCCCCTGACAACAGCAAGAAATTGCCTCCAACTGCTGGCTCATATGGCAGGTTGTACTTTCATAACACAACATGCCAGGTTACATCTTGCTGCTTCCAGGGTTGGCTCAGAATAGTCTATCACCCGAACGAACAAACAGTCTAGACAATCTGGTGTCTGGCCCTCATCACGTGCTACACTCGCTCAAGTGAAGGACCTGTCCAAAGTCCGTGCAGGAGTTCCTATCGCCCAGCCGCCTCCTACCACCGCCATAACTTTGGATGCCTCACTTGTGGGATGGGGAGTGCAGCTAATGGGACACACTGTCCAAGGGAAATGGTTGTCTCAAGAGTCTCTCCTGCACATCAACCTCCTAGAATTAGGAACAGTCAGGAATGCCTGTATCCACTTCCCTCCCTTAAGCAAGGGCCAATCCATGAAGGTCATGACAGACAATGTAACCTGCATGTTCCACGTAAATCTCAGGGAGGGGCGAGATCCCCTTCTCTTTGTGCTGAAGCAATAAAGCTGTGGAATTGGTGTCAAGCCAGTCACATCCTCACAGCCGCTTACCTTCCGGGCATGCAGAGCACCATGGCCAATGATCTGAGCAGACATTTCTCCCACGATTACGAGTGGGAACTAGACCCTCAGATCCTCAAACAGAGATTCCTGACCTGGGGTTTACAGAAGCAGATATCTTTGCAATTACCACCAACAGAAAGTGCAAGAAATTCTGCTTGAGAGGAGGACTGGGCCATCAGTCATTGGGAGACACCTTTCTCATTCCTTGGGCCTACTCCATACATCTCTGACACCGTTGATTCAGAGGGTGTTGAACAAGATCAAACGAGACAAAGCCAGAGTCAGTCTAGTTGCACCAGCTGAGCTGAGGCAGGTCTGGTATCCTTCCGTGACTCACTTCACTTCCTGTCCAGCATTGCAGCTTCCAGCCATGTCCTATGTGCTGTCCCAGGACTCCAGTCGGACTCTCCATCCCAACCTGGCCATCTGCTGACTCCGAGCTTGGTTCCTCAGTGGTTTTTGGGGATAGAGGTTTCCCGTTCGACAGAGATCCAACAGGTCCTATTAGAAACATCAGAAAGATCTCTACTAGAAATACCTTAAAAAATGGACCTTGTTCCTTCTTCCCTCTCCCCTGTTTTTGGTTATCTATTGGATTTAAAGTATTCAGCTCTTTCTGTGAGTTCCGTCAGAATTCATTCATCAGCTACGACAGCCTTCCGTTCCCCTGTGCAGGGATTCATTCAGGCTTTGCTCATCCCACGACAGCAAAATTCATCAAGGAATTGGTTAACCTTTTCCCGCAGAGCCTGCTCCCGTATGGGATTTGAACTGTCTCATGAAATCTCCCTTTGATCTGCTCACTAAGTGCTCTCTTGTGCACTTACCTACGAAAGTGGCATTCTTAGAGGCAGCATTGGGGAATTAGGAGCATTGGGGAATTAGCACTGGGGAATTAGGAGCATTGATGGCTGATTTCCCTCCCCCCTTCCCTGTTTTCTTCAAGGATAAAGTTTTGTTAGGCCTACATCCCAAGTTCATACCTAAAATATCTTCTGATTCGCTCATTAACCAAGTTATCCACCTTCCTGTGTTTTCCCCAGAACCATGCCAGACTAGAGAGGAAGCTGCCCTCCACAGCTTGGATGTTAGAGGGGCGTTAGCTTCTATTTGGACAGAACCAAGCCATTTAGACAGTCTCCCAGACTGTTCATCTCAGTTGTGGACAGATCCAAAGGATCCACAGTCTCCCCCCCAGCGACTTTCAAAGTGGGTTTCCAGTTACATTCGTGCTCGTTACCAGGCTGCTAACGGTCAGCCCCCTTCGAGAAGAATAGCCCATTCTCCAGCCTGCCTCCATGGCACTCTTAAAAATGCAGCCATTGCTGAAATTTGCAGAGTGACAACCGAGGCCTCGGTGCACACTTTTCCCAAACGCTGCGCCCTGGTACACGCCTCTAGGTCAGAGGCAGCTCCACAGTTCCCTCCTCCTTCAGGGGCTACTGCAGGAGCCGGACATGCGACATGAACCGCAATTCCATCTATTTCAAATGGCAGAGGGAAATTTGGGAGGTGGGATTGAGATGGAAGTAGGGTTGCCAACTGTCTAATCCCACAAACCCAAACATCCTTGCCCCGCCTCTTCCTGAGGCCCCACCCCTTCTTTGAGGTGCCCCCCTCTCACTCCATCCCCCCTTCCTCCATTGCTCGCTCTCTTCCACCCTCACTCACTTTCACTGGGCTGGGGCAGGGGGTTGGAGTGTGAGAGGTGGTGCAGGCTTTGGGCTGGGGCTGAGGGGTTCAGAGTGTGGAAGGGGGCTGCGGGCTGAGCCTGGGGCAGGAGGTTGGGGTGCAGAAGGGGGTGCGGGCTCTGGAAGGGAGTTTGGGTTTGGGAGGGGGCCCAGGGCTGGGGCAGGGGGTTGGGATGCAGGCTCCAGCCGGGCGGCACTTACCTCAGGCCACTCCCGGAAATACCCGGCATGTCCGGCTCCTAGACTGCTCCGCGTGCTGCCCCTGCCTGCAGGCACCTCCCCCGCAGCTCCCATTGGCTGCAATTCCCAGCCAATGGGAGCTGCAGAGTCGGCACTCAGGGTGGGGGGAAGCGTGTAGAGACCCTCCCTGGCTGCCTCTCTGCCTAGAAGCTAGAGGGACTTGCCAGCTGCCTTTGGGAGCGGCGCAGAGCCAGGGCAGGTAGGGAGCCTGCCTTAGCCCCGCTGCGCTGTCAGACTTTTAGTAGCCTAAAATCTCCCGGATTGGCGTCAGTAGCCTCTGGGAGATCGAGCCCGATTCCAGGAGACTCCCGGCCAATCCGGGAGGGTTGGCAACCCTAGATGGAAACTGGGAAGGCCGTCAGGGTCAGCACTTGTAAAAAGGTGCCCTTGCATTTTTAATGGCCATAAATGGCCAAGGCAACAGTTTCGTATCTCAAAAACCAATAGCCTCATCCACATGGTGACCCCTAACAGCCCTCTCTTAGGGCACTGACTACTTCCCATGTTACCAAAGCTGTTTCCTGTAGCATCCAGGTGTGCCGGCAAAGTCTCCCATCCCATCCACAGCCAGGCCAGATTGTTTAGCATGTTAAAGCCCAAGCTCACAGCCCAAGATAGCCGTCATAGCATGCTGAGTGAGCCCCCTCCCTAGGCTCACCCCTCCCATTTTTCTAGGTTTGTCCCAGTTTCAACAAGGCCAGGGTGTGTCATCCCATCCTGCCGCCTCCCACTCTTCAGGCACCATGCCAGGACAGAGCCACAAAGTCAGGATGACAAGAGACAGTGGTTTTTTTCCCGAATGAACCTAACACAAGTGGTGGGAACACAGACGCAGCTGCGAGGGGAACCCCGAGTGCTCTAGAAAACACGAATGGGCCTTCACGCGAGTGACCGCTGACAGGATGGATTTCACCCACTGCATCTTGGCTTTCCCTTTAGCCATTGGCTGTGTGCGGTGTTCCCTCGGGGCGGAACGAACGGATCGGTGGTTTGTTTCCCCACAGGTAACTTTGAGCAGGCCAACGAGGAGCTGAGGGCCATTATCAAGAAGATCTGGAAGAGAACTAGCATGAAACTCCTGGACCAGGTCATTCCACCAATTGGAGGTGCGTCTTTGCCATGCTCCCTGGCTTATTTCTCCCCGGCACCCTCTGCCTGCCCCCTCTGCTGCCCCACACCGCTCGGATGGGGGCTGGGTATAACCACTGGGCAGTGTTAATGGCCTCACTTGGCTTTCTCCCCTCCAGAGGATGAGGTGACCGTGGGCAAGTTCTACGCGACCTTCCTCATCCAGGAGCACTTTAGGAAGTTCATGAAGCGCCAGGAGGAGTATTATGGGTATCGGCCCAAAAAGAACGCCATTGCTATCCAGGTCAGTGCAAACAGGTCTGGGGATCCCAGCCGCTCCTCTTGCCTGGATAAAGCAACCAGCTTGTCCCTCCTGCACAAGGGCAGGGCAGGGCTCAGGGGGCAGAATTGCCTAGTGGATAGAGACCCGGGCTCGGCCACCAGCGCCGCTGGGCAAGTCATTTCCCCTCTCTGTGCCTCAGTTCCCCCAGCTGTAAAATTGGGATAGGGACACTGACCTCTGTGGTAAAGCACATTGGGATCTCCTCGTGAAAAGTGCTTTACAAGAGCTAGGTGGTGGTGTTGTTATATGCTGGGCAAGGTGGGAAGCAGGCCTAAGTATTTGAAGGTGTCGGTACGAGGCTGGCAGAGGAATTCTCGAGGACGGCCGGAGAGGAAGCACTGGGACGGAGCTGAACAAAGGGAAATGGAGACAGGGGAACAGTCTGTGGGTGGAAGCTCTGTCCCTTAGAACACTGGAAATGGGACTGCACAAAGGGTACGTTGCATGGGCGAGCCCATGGATGACCCCAAACAGGTCTCAGTGTGTAAGTGAGGGGACCTCATGTTAAGAGGAACAGTCCTGAAATGGAGGAGGCTGGCCCGGCCTAAGGGAGCGCTTGGAGGCTGCCTCCTCAGGGCCTGGCAGTTGGTCTCTGCTGCACACAGCTTGGACTGGGGCCTTGACTGAGCTCTGGGCTTTCAAGGGCTTCCCATGATGGAATCTCAGAGCTGGTGCCCTCACACCACCCTTCCTGCAGCCCTGCTCCTTCCACGAGAGCCCAGGCTCAGTCTCTACTGAGGCAGCGCGCTCTAGAGGAGTAAGCACAGTGGTGAGCAGCAGGACTCCTGGGTTCTTTCCCCGCTCTGCCTCTGACTCGTGTAGCCATGGGCAAGTCACTTCCCTCCTGTCTGCCTTGGTTTCTCCACCCATGAAATGGGGACAAAGAGGCAGGGACAAGGGGAAGGTCTGAGGCTCGTGTCGCTCCCTGCCCCCCCCCCCTCTGGCTGATGGAACGAACAGCCCCACGCAAGAGTTTCAAACTGGAGTCCAGTCTCCCTGCATCAGAGGTCCTGGGGGGCATGTCCCGAGCACAGAGGACTCCTCCCCTGGGGAGATGGGGGCATTTCTCTTGTCCAAACTGGAATGCAGCCATGTCTCGAGGTTCCCATGGCCTCCCTGCGGGGTGTAGGATCACCTGTCCCTGGGTATCAAATCCAGTTCCAACATGTGCAAGGTGAGATGTGCCAGCCCCCATGGCCCTGCGAGAGGGGCAGAGATGCCGCTGCCCTAGAGAGACACCCCCCACCTCACGGCTCAGCCCGTTTACCCTCCTCCAGCCCCCGTTCCTCCACACCCAGTGCACAGAGCTAGCGCCATGGGAGAGGCTGCTGAACCAGAGGCATCAGAGCGCCCCCTTTGGGAAGTAGGCAGGGCAGCCTGGGCTCGGTGAAGGCAGTTGCGGGGCCAGGGCTGAGGGTTCGGGGAAGGAAGCTGGAGCTGCCAGGCCACCGGGCTTTGCTGAGCCTCCTTCTCCCCTTGCCCGGTGAAGAAAAGCTCGCCCTGCCACCAGCAGCCCCGTGAGCGACCTCCCCATCTCTGTCCATCCCACTAGGCCGGTCTGAGAAGCATCGAAGAGGAAGCCGCGCCCGAGATACACCGAGCGATCTCTGGGGACCTGACCGCCGAGGAGGAGCTGGAGAGGGCCATGATGGAGGCAGCGATTGAGGAAGGGATATATAGGGTGAGCACAGTGGGAGGTACCACCCTCTAACCCCACACATACCAGCCCCACCTTCTGTGTCCCATGCGGAGCCTAGCACACTGAGCGGTGACTGCTGCAGACAGGATAGGGGCCAGCCAGCAGGTGCCAGGGGTGAGTGATGATGCCCGAGATCATAGTCATATTGTCATGGCCGCTTGGTGCCAAATGCTTGGGCAGGACCCAGCTCTGTGTGAGCACGTGAGTTGGCTGGGGGGCACAAAGCCACTAGCACGGGAGATGCCACAGTCCGTGGAGATGGGCCTGATCACAGAGGAGAGTGTCAGTCACAGGAAACCACGTCACCGACTGGCTAAGTGGGTCCTGGGTCACCGTCTCCTCTGTTCCTAGGCGTTAGGGTGGGCAAAGTTTTTGGCCCGAGGGCCACATCTGGGTATAGAATTGTATGGCAGGCCCTGAATGCTCACGAAATTGGGGTTGGGGTGCGGGACGAGGTGAGGGCTCTGGCTGGGGGTGCGGGCTCTGGGGTGGGGCCAGAAATGAGGAGTTCAGGGTGTGGGAGGGGGCTCCGGGCTGGGTCGGGGGGATAGGGTGCAGGGGGCGTTGAGAGCTCCGGCTGGGGGGTGCGGGCTCTGGGGTGGGGCTGGGAATGAGGGGTTTGGGGT